TATTCACAAAACGCAAATATATTATGGTTATACTAAAATATATAGGCAAACAATAAATCTAAGTTAGGTAAAAGACGTAGACAAGAAAGAAATATATTTCAGCGATATATATGATATATTCGATGTGTGATACGGAGTTGTATTTAATTAACTTCACGTTAATTAACATTCTAAATTATGTGAGGAAACTTAGCTCAACTTTAACACGTCATTTTGCTTATAAGCGATCAGCTGTTGCTGACGTAATAGGTCACATGTGTGGATATCCGTGATCATCTTCTTGAAGTGCAAGCATCCAATTGGTAGTGTGAAATATATATATATATATATATATATACTATATAAATCTATATATATATACTNGAACTATTTTAATAACTTCAAAGTATATTTCTTAAATACATACTTAATTTTTTTCTAATAAAGTATCACAGATTGTTGATGTTTTCATTTAAAAAAAGGACTCTGTATTTCAATGGGTTTCAAATTTTTACAATGTTATCCGAGGCAAAAAAAGAAAATTCAATAAGAAATACAATGGTGTGCAAAGTTGAGCAACATTTCACGTAAAAGCAAATAGTTTTAAAAGTTGAAATTCTGGAAATTGATATAAAATTTAAAGCCCTTGATAAAATGAAGCGTAATTGGCAAAGTGAGAAAAATGTATGGAATACAAAGCATGCGAATTGTTTTTATAACTTCAAACTATATTTTAAAAGACATACTTGATGCTTTTTTTTAATAAAGTATTGCAAATTGTTGATGTTTTCATTTAAAAAAAAATAACTTAATTACTTCTAAATTTCCAAATACAATATTATTCTCTAAATAAAAAAAAAACTTCACAGCGAAATATTCAATTAAATAGAAACGAAAAAAATAATAACGGAGTGTATTGGCCGTTAAACGGAGAAAATTCATACGTAGAACTTAATTGAAGGAAATGTCCTTTACTTATATTTTTTAATGCAGCTGACTGCCTTCAAAGCCAAAAGGATGCTATACCGTAACTGGTTTGTAGAAAATAATTTTTTTCTCCGTTACTCGTGAAATTCTTTTGGAAAGAAATTCCCTAAAGCAATTTAGATGAACACATAAGTATTGTTTACTTGAAGGCATTTCCTTTATTCTTTTCGTGCTACGTCTCCTCTGTTTCTTAAATAAAATAATAATTTAAAAGGAAATATTTTAAAAAACACCACGTTCTTTCCATTGAAGAACGCTTCTCACAAAGCCTTGCTATTTAAATTATCTTTATAAATAGAATTAATTTACTATTTTCACACTTCGCAAGATATTTAATACGTACCTTTATTAACGTAGTTAACGTATTTCAGCATTCCGTTATTAAACTAGAGAACTTAAAAAAAAGGAAGAAAGATTTATTTAAAAAATTAAAATTGATGGAGAAAATTACATTCAGAAATATACTTTTCTTCGGATGCAATGACTCCTGCTGCAGAACAATTGATATTTCAAACGATGCCAATTCGCGATCGCAACGAACTATAGGGGGCGTTGTTGTATGCGACGCTTACCTGCGATTTCTANCAAGCTCCCGCTAGACGGCGTACTCGAGCGTTGCGATCGCGAATACGCTTTCAACTGAAAAAAGTTTAAATTTGAATGAAAGAAAACGATTGGGAAAATTAATAATTTATAGATAATCGTTTTCAAAAATTAAAATTACAAAAAAAATGTCCCAAAAAATTACGTTCAATTTCTATTTATTTATTGAGTTCAATGAACTGTGGTGCTAAAAGAGTGTCGATATATTTTTCAGCTATAAAAGTTTAAAACTGAGCAGTATTTAACGATTCGTAATTTTTTTAAAGTGCTTTTTAAAAAATGCTTTTCTTAACTGTAATTGATCGTTTCTGTTTATTGTAGAGTATTATTTCGTAATGCATTAAAGCTTATAACGGCTGAAAAATTCTTTTAAGATGATAAAAAGTTCATTTTATCATATTTTACATTTGAATTAAACAGTTCTTTAATATATGCTTATATTTTTGTGTACTTTAATATTGGAAAACGTTCTTAATGTTCATATAGCTGTGTAATTTGATATCTAAATAACAATTATTCGACATCTACAATTTTCAGATTTTTATAAATAGATCTCACGAGCCTGAATAGGGAACGAAGTAAAATTTTGGAGTAAATTTCTAAAAATGCAGTAAAAATTAATTTATTATTTGAAAATTAATTCTTGGGAACAATGTATGATACTCTTATTTCTTTATATAAATTGAATTAATTAATCATATTGATGCTCGGTTAAATTTTAAATATATAAATTTTTATGATTTATACCTATTCATAGGTTACAAAACTCTTGATTTCGAAAAAACGATAACAGGTTTAAACAAGTCGATATGTTATATTAAAATTTCAAACGGAAATGGTTCTATAACAATGACATAATCTTTTATAAAAACTCAAGTTTCTTATTTAAATTTCGTGAGTTAATTCTGTACGACAAAGATATAAAATATCCCAAGTTATGCGTTTTACACGTCTCACACATTTAAACGTTTTTAATTATTCGGATAATTAAGAAGAAAACTTAATACTTAAGAAAAACCTATTTGCTACTGATACTGAGAATACTTAAATATATTTAAGACACCATGAACGACAAAATAAGGCAAAAACTTGCATATAAAACAAACAAAACACAAATAAAATAGAAATCAGCAATTCAGAATTTTTAAACCGAAGTTCATGATTACGGACGTCGTCCGGCTCATCCACCCCAAACCTTGGCCATGAAGAAGGTCAATAAATCTTAAAAAATACATTTGATTTGAATTGAATAAGGAATTTAATGGCTTTTTAATAGGAGAGGTTTAAGCAGCTAAAACTGAATAAAATGCATCTGGCCATCTCATAGAATATTCTTTTCTCTTAAAAAATTATATGTTTCCTGACAACTTTCTTTCGAATTCGCTTGTTTTCACGTTTAAACCAAGATTATGTTTATTTGAATTGCACTGCGATCAATCGTGACAAGTGAAATTCATGACTTTGACACGCATGACTTGCTATACACTTTCTTGACTGGGATGTCTTCATGCATTATCTTGATTCGTCATCGGAATCATCAAAGAAATATTTTTGGATCTTGCCGTAAAATGTCATTTTGAGAGGTATTATAGTTGCAAGTGCGTCAAATAATCAAAAATGACCGTCAAAAAACTTAGAATTTTACAATTTAACTTTTCTCTTTTATTTTGAGCTTTAAAACATTCATACACGGAGAAAAAAATTCTGGTAAAATTACAGTAAGGTATGGTAGTGAAATTTTTGGTTAAAAAATGACCCATATTTCTGGTAATGAAATCCAAAATACTATACAGTATTTAAACCATTTATTTGGTATTTTTTCCGTTTATAATTATTATAAAACAATATTTTATTGCTAATACTATTGCCAAAGGGATTCTGTAAAAATTAGTGAGCTTTTTGGTGTTCCCATTAAGCCATAAACACGGTAAAATTTACCGTATTCTGACAGTTTTGACCGTACTTTTTTTCAGTAAAGTTCGAAGATTAACTTTAACTCCTTTTTTTTATTTATTTAGCAGACGAGTTAAAATCACTTTTCAAACTGGTTGGGAATTAGTGCAACAGAAAATAGAAAAAATCTTTTGTACTTTAGCTTATGAAAAAAGGCATTCAAAATATCTTATTTATTTAAAATATAATAATATCCTTAAAATAAGTAAAACAATACATTTTTTAAAGAAATGAGCTGATTTTACAGTTTTAAAAGTTTTGAAATAGTGTTCCAAATCCCTTCGTTAAAATGCATACTTGTGTAGAGAATAAATAATGTGATATTCAATTAGTAATATGACATTTAGCAGAATTCTGCTCGAAAGTCATTTTTAAGACTATTAGAACTAAAGTTTTAAAACTTTTAATAGAATTGCGCATTTGAAATTGGGCTGTACTTAAATACAACTTTTGTATTTCATAGTTATATCTGAAGCTATACGTTTTTAAAGCCAAGATTAGACGTAAAAAGTTCGCGATTTTTTGCTTTCATTAAAATACAGCATCTTTTATTTAATTTTTCAACTTGATAATAATATGACAAAAAGAACTTATTATAACTAATTTAATAAAAATCAACATAAATTTGAATTGACCACTTTGTTTTTAAATAATTTATTTTTAATCTTTTTATTAAAGACTGCTTGACAGTTAATGAATAATTGATTAAAAATTATCTAATTGTTTTTTTAACTAATTAAGGTTTTTGTGATAGTAAAGATTATTTTCTCCTCCGTTAAAATTAATCATAACTTTTAAAGTCTATTATTCAATGTAAGAAGTAAAAGGTAACTTTCTCTAGCTTTGCAATGTCTGTTCTTCTCTAAGGTTCAAGAAAAAATTAAAGTTAATAATTTTACATCAATCTTCCCTGTAAAATGAAGTTTTAAAGCTAATTTCAAAACATTGCTTAATAAAAGTACTGATGCAAATTTTACAATGAAGTTGTGAATATAACATTAGAAATTTCAGTTAAGACTATTTCTAGAAAGTTTAATTGTCACATTGAAATAACACTTTATTAGAATCGTCATTTTAACTCTTCTTATCACTTTGTAACTGTTGGATGAAACTGTTGGATGTTGGATGAACTGTTGGATGTACGTTGAAAATGAAAATAGTGCAAAATTTTAATGGGAAAAAACTGATTTCTTTAAAAAATATAAAAAGTAATTGTAGTCCAATTTCTTAAATACTATAATTTTATTGTTTATGCTCATAAAACATGCAAAAAAAAAATGAATTGTCGCCTATAGCAGTTCTATAAGTCTTCCCAAAATGCTAATTTTTTTAAAAAAAATATTTTAACAACATGTTTACAAATTTAAAATGTTTCTTGAACATTAAAAGAAATATTACGCTAATTACTAAGCTAACATGTATTAAATTCACATTAAAAATATATTTGATGTTAATGTATTTTATTCTTTTTATTTTAGATTATCGCCACTTAGGAAAGAATTGAAAATACCTGCTCGAAGTATAACTTGGTGCCTTGCCATAATTTTAACTACAAAATGCCAAGAAAATCAACTATAGAGCTATTCTTTAGAAAAAAATGGAAACAGCATTCACTTCCTGTACTTATTTTTAAAAAAAAATTTCTTTAGTTGAAAATGAGTTTCTTTATACTTTTAATACGGCTACTTGTAATTCCTAATCAACTGATATAGACTTCAAACACTCTTGTATAGAAACTGTGAACTAGAGTTAAATAGACTTCAAAGTATATAGTTTTGACAATTACGTGTGACTGTTTTGTAAAACTTTCCTGAAACAAGTGTTACTTTTTTCTAAAGGAAATTATTTTTTTCACTTGTGCAAGTCATTATTTGTTTTTGATGAATATTAGTCCCATATTATTTAATGTTTAAGTTTGTGGAATAAGTGTACATTTCTTTTCTAATTCCACAATATTGCTGTTTGATATTTTTGTTTGTTCAGAACGGGTAAATACGCTCAAGAATTTAACTTTAAACTGGTGAATGCTGGCAAAATATATATAAAAGATTTTTTTTCTTCAAAAAATAACTAACACTTTGTAATATATCGTGTAAAATGTGAAGTTTATGTTGAAATTATATTTGTAATTTACTTTAAATTGCCTAATATATTTTATTTGCTGTTGATAAAGTTCATTATAATATTATTTGCTTTTGTTGTGTCTTTCATGTAACACGTAAACACACAGGGAAAAGGAAAGTAAACAATGTAAATCTTCGAAAGTTTTAAACACCATTTTTCTATTCAGAAGGTCTTTTGAAGTATAAGATAACTAATTTTGAAGAAAAAATTGTCACATTTCATACATTTGTGGAATTTACTATATTTAATATATATATAGGTATAATCCTTAGTACTTATTGTTAGATATATATGCTTATACATCTGATAAATAATAGAACAGCAATAAACAGTTAAATAGTTCCCCTCATGATATAAAAACTTTTTGCAGAAATTCAAAGGGTGTGTTTGTTTTTCTTGTGTAGACAAAGCGTGTACACATCAGCAAAATAAATGAAACTGAAACTCCCTCAATAATTTTTTTTCTTCTTTTGGTTGAAATTTTTGAAAGCTCGTCTTAGTGTCTCATTGTTAGTGTATAATTTCAATACCATGTTCCAGCCAGACACATCAACTAATTGCAGTCACGAAATCACACTTTTTCTGAATTAAAATACCTATCTTTTACCATTTACGAATTTAAAAGTTCAAAATGTGGTGGTAGATAAAGTCCATAAGCCTTTATTCCTAAAAGAGACAGCTAAATCCTTATCAAAGTTTGTTTTATAACGTACGAAGTTACGCTATGCCAGAGTTTCTAAGCTTATCCTATCTCTCATATAAAGGACGCCAATAGCTATATTTATTGCAAACATGTATGACGATCTATAGCTGGAACAAAATAGATATCTCAGTAATTCAATGAAGTACGTTATTCAGTTGTTCTCTTTAAAAACTAAGGTAGCTTTTTTAAAAAATTAAAAATAGATCTTTCGATAAAAAGTAATTAAAAATATTTCTTTTCGTTTACTTACAGTACTAATATCCCAACTGTGAAATCTATTGCTATCTGAACTGAAGAGAAACTAAAACACCAAAAGAAGCGAGTCACGTGACCGGTTTTACGCTTCAGTTTAGTTAAGACTTTGCTAGTTTTTTTTTCTGAAAAAATTCAGAACCGGGTAATAACCAAAATATTTGTGTTCAGTGTTCACTGAGTGCCACTCTTTTAATTCATAATTCATTTTTTTCCGAACCAGCATATCACCCCAAACTGAGACTTGCCTATGTTTATACAAAAGAAGAAGTATCCAACTGGGGAATACTCTTCTCAAAATGCTTCGATGTTGAAATTTTTGTCTGAAAAGGTAAATGTGTTCTAAAATTATACTTTCATAAAAAAACATTTTTTTTCGCAAAATATTTACAAAAGTTTATCAACATAGAATAACAATAAAATTTCAAGCTTCTTTGAAAAAATAATAATTTAACCTGAACTAATATACTATATTTTAACAATTTTTAAAAAAAAATTATAATCCTTTTAATTAATTTAAATTATAAAACATTTTCAAAAGAGAACTTACACAATTTTATTCAAAATATCTTTTTAAAAGGTGGAAAACTTTAAAATTTAAGTTTTCAAAGCTTACAACTATTTTAATTCAATATTACAACATAAACAGTTCTTTTTTAACATATGTCAAAGCTATTTTCACTCTTACAGTTCTTCTAACTCTGAACTGTTATTAGCAATGTGCAAACCATCATTTTCAAATAAATCCCCCTTCGATGCAAATATTTTAAAATTCTTGTTTTCTGAAAATTCTTTTACATTCAAGACTTCCAATCCATTAAAGTGAGCAACGCGATCAATTTCTTCACAATACATTGCTTTTTGCTCGTTTGTTGAATTAACAACATTTTTTATAGTTTCAAAAACTACAATACCATTTTCTTTCAGAACATTAGATAGTAGCGATCCAATGAGTGGCATCATGTCACAAGTAACGTAAATAGCATCAAAGAGTTTTTTGAACCTATGCATCTTGCGAAATGTTTCAAAAGATAGCGGATGAACCATCACATTTCTAGACTTTTCCATCTTAGTATGAGTTATGAACTCGTTTGTCATATCAATAATGTTAAATTTTGAAATTTCCAAACTATTCGAAGTATACACGCCATTTGATTCCCTTAGCAAGCTAAAATTTCCAGTCTCGACACCAAAAGCTACGTAAGGGCTAGTCGCAATGTCGCCAACATAAGCATCGACATTGTCATTGTTTTTCGTGAATTGAGTGGATGAAATGTGCATCGTTTTGTTAGGATAATTGTATTTAGATTGCCGAAACTTAAAAGCTATGCCCGTTTCACACCAATCAATATATTTCTTCAAATTTATTATCTTATAATCTGAAAGTTTCATGTTGAAATGATAATCAAACAAATTCCGTCGATTGTCGTACCTGGTTCCATAATAAGCACGCAGGGCATTTTCCCAACCTTTACCAATTCCAAAAAATTCTTTTTCGTCTTTTATGTACGTGAAGGCTTGTAGTAAACCATCTATTTCTTTCTGTTTAAAATATTCTAGTGATACAAAGGGAAGGATATTTTTGTTCTCTGATAAATTTCCTATTTTTTCAATGAATTCCACGGATTTGGTTTCCATAAATAGCTTTGTAGGAGATCTCACGTGAATGTTTCCGAGTATATCAAGAAAGATTTCAGCTCTTTCTAGTAAACTAGATCGAAGAGAGTTGTCCCCAAACAGTGACATAAGAAGCAGATTGCGTGCCAAACATTCAGGAGATGAGCATATCATATATATTTTCAAGTTGGTGTTTTTGTGGCGAAACATCCGAGATAGTGTTTTTAAGAGGCATCCTATACCATCTCCAATTATTAAGCAAAAATAGCTGCCACCATCATGGCCGGAATTATCATCTAAAGAAGTTTGTTCATTTCGACGGCTATCTTTCAGATTTGGATTTCCTAACTGGTATAAGAAGTAAGGCTGGTCTGAGTAGGGTGAACTGGAATTATTCGAATCATGAGATTCGACGACATTTTGCAAATCAAATGCAGGAACAAGAGGCCAGAAGTTAACCAAATGTTGATACACCATGCTTGAAGCACTAACTGCAAATGAATAACAGTAATTATATATATATATATAGCATAATAAATAAATACGAAAAGGACAAAAAGAAAAAAAACACGAAGAAAATTAAGAAAAACAATAAGTTATTGCGCATAAGCTGCAAGTAAATAGAACTCGTAAAATAAGACCAAAATGTAGAGAAAACATGGAAAAATTACAGAACAATGAAAAAAGGGGGAAGAGATTGATATCCTTACGAAACATAATAAGTAATTATAATAATAAATTTTCTTCTTTTGACAATAAGTTTAGATGCAAAAATATGATACATAATTGAACACGTTGTTCTATTGCTATTCTTAATTCTATAATGGACATTTTATATTAACTTTAGTATTAGCGAAAAAATTTTCTTGAGTTTTCTTTCAAATATTGCATATTAGATTTTTGTTCCAAATTTCTACGTTCTATGCTTGAAAAAGACCAGATATCCCTAAGTTTACTATGTGATTGAACATGAAACAAATACCTTTAACGTGCTTGCCACAGGCAGGTTTTAATTTCGCATCTCGATTAAAAAGAATTCTGTAAAATGGAAAGAGGTTAATTCACTTATGTAAAAAAAAGCATTAGCTTTTCCCGCTAGCGGCATGTTCAAGTACTGATGTTTGTGTTTTTAAATGACAAAGAACTAAGAAAAATGCCTACACCCAGTATATGATTCCATTATAGTCTCCTGATGTCGGGCCAACACTGAGAGACGTCTTCACTGTATATGACAAAAAACATAATTATTTTTTCATCAGTTTCACAGTGTTATAGAAAAAATTTTGTGTACTGTGCACGAATAAAAAAAAAAAATTAAAATGATTCACCCTGAGTAACGTTTGATCTAATGATCGGATCTTCACGTACTAGGACTTTCTTAATTATTGAAAGGGGGTGACCTCAATTATGTTCATTAATTAGCTCAGGCGATATTTTAAGTTACGAAATCAGACACAAAAGAATACTTTCTTTGAATAAACGGATGCGGATTTATGATCCTCAAAATATAAAGAGTAGCCGCAATATGAGATATATGGTCCTAATAGTTTGGCCAGGAGAGCAGTCCAAAATTTGGACCCCTTAAGGACAATTTTACTTTTTTGTGTATTTCGCCATATTTCAAGAATGTTTCAAGCGAATCGAATGCATTTTATTCACAATTATGAAATTCATTTATCCTTAGGTAATTCCATACAAAAAGTATTTCTTAATAATTATTTATTATTTTATTAAGTGATAATAGAAAGAAACTTGAATTATAAGTTACACAAATTTTTGCATCATTTTAAGGAACGTAACTTCTTAAGTCAAACACAAAATTCGAGTGAAATCGGTCGGATAGTTCCTGAGAACTTAAATTTCGAAGTGAAGCCGTATATTTAAAACTTGATTTCTGAGGAACTAATGGACCCATTTAATTCAAATTTTGTATTTTGATAAATTAAGTTATATTCCGTAAAATTTGTATACCTTACAATTAAAAAATTTTCGACTATTATTAAATAAATTAATAAATAATTTTAAAAAAATACTCTTTGCACGGAATTATCTTTGGATGAAAAATTTTTATAATTGTGTGCGAAAAATTTTTAGGACCATTGTTCCCAGATTGGGGCTATCTCTTATATTTTGAGGGTCAGAAATAAAAATTTGTCTAACTAAATGCATGTTAGTTCAAAGAAAGTTCGTTTTTGTGTCTGATTTCGTTAATAGGAATATGCTCTCTGCACTAATTAATTATCCTATAAAATCCATATCCGAACTATTAAGATTGAGACTCAACACGTGAACAACATTAGTTCTTAGGTTATTCAGGGTGATTATTACTATTATTATTTTTGCATACTGCACTGTGAATAAAAGGTAATAATCTATTTATATTCTTTTTTTCTTAATTACCGGTCTTTTGCACTTTTCATGGGTTGAAAGACCCATCTAAAAATTCAAATTAATTAATGAAAACAATAATTTACGTTTGAAATCATAGAGATTAACGTCATTTTTTAATAAGAATTTCTTTTTCTTTCAGTTCGAGATCTTGAATTCGAAAAAGTTGTTATAGTTAAAAAAGTTTATTTACAAGATTGACAGAATCTCATTATATTGTGACCGAATCTCATTATTTTCTAAAAGTATGTTCATGAGTACTCCATATACAGCACTAAATTGCATTCTTGAAATAAAATTTTTTTAAAAGGAACATATCTTAAAAAAAAAAAAAAAAAAAAAAAAAAAAAAAAAAAAAAAAAAAAAAAAAAAAAAAAAACAGTGAGTGGTACAGACCTTGTATATTTCGAATCAGCATGTTTCAATTATCGTTAAAAATGCATCGGATACTAAGATATTCACCATTTTTTAAAATCTGTTTAACAATGTTGCTAAAAAAATAATTTTTGTTGAAACTATCGCTGAGTAATTGATTTTAAAATTCAAAATTTTTAAATTAGTTAGAATCAAAAGAAGAAACAGAAAAAATAATTTGAACATAGACAGGCCGCAATACTGATTCAACAGAGTTTTAATAAGCTGAAGAATAGTGAAAAATTCTCTGAAAATATTCCAGTTTAAACATTCTTCATATGTATGCGCATTTTGCATGTTAATTAAAAATTATTTCATCTTGTTTCTTGGCCCCGCAATGGTAATTGTCGAATTGCATGAAAAATAGTGTATTCTAACAGGTCCCAACAAATATCCCATTAGCAATAAACTGCAGTAAAAATACCAAAAAGGTATTTTAAATTACAGTTAATAAAATTAAACTTTTAGAAATCAATTTCATAATTTTATATTTTCAAAAGATGTCGTCAAAATTAATCTCAAAACAGGGAAGATGAATGTTTTGTAGCCAGCAGCGATTATTCTTAGACTGACAATTTACATTGATTGCTAAGAACTCGATCATTCAGGCTTAGAACTTGAGAAAGTACAGTAATACATACTGTATTTACCCGCATACGGAACATAACAAACACACCACTTCGACAGTATGCATAATAATAAAAACTTACTTTTAAGAATAGATACCAGCTCAAAACTAATAAAAATATTTTAGAATTCATAAAGATAGCTTATGACACCTAAAAGAATTTTTCTAGGTTTTATTTAAATCTAACAAGTCAGTGTTAATGTCAAGCAAAGCAAAGGAGGTACTAATATTGCTGCTGATATAATTACAACTGCTTATTTGTTGGGTAAAACCAACTGGAATTGTAAAGCATTAATTAAGAACGAATTATTTGACTACTAGGAACGTCTGTTTAACCAGTATTCGTTTAACTATTGTTCCAATTAGATTTAGCAAGTAATATTCAATTTTCGTCCAGAGAACTGAATTGGGTGATTAAAACATTGGGCAGTTGGTAATTTAAATAATGTTACAAAACTTGTTATTGAAGAATTTTCCTTCTCCATTAATTAATTTTAATAAAATTTGCCAATCATTTTTACGGCAGTAGTAATATTTGCTACTCATACTCATGCCGTGCAATTGAAAAATCAACATAAGTATCAATTTTATGTTGATTAAAATATCAATAAAATAATATCAATAAAAATTCAAAATTCGTATTTTTATATATATGGCTTCTTTGTGTGGTTAGTTACATATAGGAAAAAAAATTCGAAAATTAATTTTGTTTCATGAGTTTCTTGAAATTTCACTTCAGCGTTCATAGAATTAGCAATAGAAGGAAAAAAGTTCTCAAAACATCTTTTCTCAGAATCAATCGTAAAGCACTTGCTTGGTAAAGCACACGCCAATGCTTGGAAAGTGATGTAATAATAAACATGTTATGTTATTATTATTTTCTTTTTTGGAAAGTGATATAGTACTAAACATGTTATACTAATTTTTTCTCTATTGCATTTGCCTTAATTATTGTTTAGAAGCTTCTTGCAATATTACATGAGAAAATAGGATTGACATTCCGGTCGAAATTAATCATAATTATGATCAAATCTAATTGATAGCGGAATCGATAGACATATTTTAAAAAGTTAACTCCATGTTTATTTTTCAAACATCAAAAAGTTTTAGTAAAATCTTGAATAAATTGATACTTAAATGAATGATGAATTATTCTGATGAGATCAAAGAACTATATTTTTTCTTCGCTTTGCTAACTGCGATTAAGTAAATAACCTAATCAGGAAGTTAAGACATAGGTACCACTCGTTTCGGGAGACCTTAAAAAATTGATCGCCAAACAATTGTTGACGCCAGAGATGTTTAATTATTTGTGGTAATATGTACTGTAATAAGTACCTAGTATACTGATATAAGACTTAATATAGATATCATTTGTATTATACAGTAACTAATTTATATTATATTGAATCCTCGTTCAAAAATAGCATTAGTTTTTTTAATTTTAAAGCATTATTTATTGCACTAAGAATACAAAAAAAGCTTTAAATTGAGAACTAATTTCTTTTCTTGTTTTAAAATAACCTGGCAATAAATAATTAAATATAAAAGTATTGCCAATAAATAAAATATTTTCCAATAAGCAATTTAATTAATTGAAGCAGAAAAAAATATGATAAAATACGACAATTGTATTTCATGTTTTTTAGACAAAGTCACTCTAATTGATTATATATTCTCATGATTACAATGAACATACTTAATATTATATCTGAATAAATATATTTTGAATTCAAACTCTGATTGTTTCATTTTTAAAAAAAAATAAATAGTTGTTCTTGGTACTAAACTTTTGACAAAGATTTTACTGAAAATTAAGACAGTAATTTGTTTAATTTAACAAACTTATAAATGTTATTTATGAATAATATTTATAATTATCATATAAACATCACATGTTCCTAATGTATAAACTGCAAAATAATTTTAAAGCGGTAGTATTTAAACATTTCCAAATTTGTGTGTCTAAAAAAAGCAATGGGAAAAATTAGAAAGCTTTGTAACAGCACGCCTAAATTATTTAACTTTGTAACTAAAATACTTAAGTACTCAGTCAAACAGCATTTCTTAAAGCATTCTTGAAACTAATAACATTTAATTTAAAACTTAGGATCGCGCAAATTAAGATTAAACACAATTTTTTTTATACTTACATCTACCTTTGATCTTCGGCGTAGCAAGTGAAAAATCTAGAGAAAAGCATTTCTACAGAGAAAACTTAAAACGTTGCTATGGTAACAAATAGAACAGAGCTAAGAGATAAATAATAAAAAATCGCCTTTTTTCCCTTAATTTTCTCTTTTGATTTGGAAGTTATTTATTTAAAAAAAACATCATTTTTAAAAAATTACTATAAATTTGATTATTTTTTAGTCTCTCTTTTTTGATGCATTCTAAGATTGATGAACTTTTGAAAATTTTGAAGGAATAAAATATAATTTTATTTGTTTGATTACTATAATTTATTTTGAAAAAAAAAAAGATTCTTAGTTTTATTATTAACTATTACCTATGATTCATCATCTGCTAACTAAGAAAATGAAGCAGGGAAGTTAAAGTTAGCACCAAATTTAATAATCACGCAGTAATCGGGTACCTGCAACCGACGTCACGGGTGAGTATCAAACCAAATTAGATGCTGAATCGTAACATTTGTTTGTGCCATGATTTAGCAGTCAATCAGATTCAAGACACCCACGCCTAATATTGCTTGCCGGTAACTAATTAAACCTCATTCGAAGATTGGTTCTAAGTGATCATAAATTAAGTCTAACAACTGTGATTTAAGAACTCCGTCTTGTTTATATACTACCAGCGGATTTCAGAGGTCTTCTTGAACAACTGAAGTCACGAGTGAGTTACAACTGAAGTTCCCCTACAACTGAAGTCACGAGTGAGAAAATCGCGGCATTTGTTTATGCCACGATTCATTAGCCAGACTTAAGGCTCCTCAAATTCACGGTCTCTAGCCAGATTCAACACACACCGTAACGTCGCTTGCAGAAGTTCAATTTCGCGTTATAATAAACCAAAGTTAATAGCATTGATGTGCTTTTACCCGAGCATGTTATTTCAGCGGTATTCTTCTCGAGTTTCAAGCACCCAATTAACACCAAATTTTAACAATTGGGTACCTGCAACTCAAAAAGAAGACTTCTGAAATCAGTTTCTTGTGCATAAACAAGACGGCGCTTTAAAGATACAACGCCAGCGAAGTCACGCGTTGGTAAATCGTGGCATTAGTTTATGCCCCGATTCTGCAGTCAATCAGGTTCAATACACACGCATAACGTTATTTGCAGGTATCCAATAACCACAATCACGTGATTAGGAACAACCATGTTCTTCGGCGGAATTCTTCTTTCTGTTGCAAGTATCCAATTCGTGATCGCCACGCTTGAATACGCCCTCTAGCGGAGCCTGAAAATATCAGGCATTTATTTATTAAGTTTTCATTTAGTTCTGTCATATTCATTGGCACAGTCAGACGCCATTTCCTTACTAGCAAAATTCCCCTAAGGAAAATGCAGAACTAACCAGAACATTGGTAAATCTTTTTAAAACAGAACACGCCAAACATTTGAAGAACAATTTCTCAATAATTTTTACCTTTCTATTATTAACAAGCTTGCATCTGATAACTTCCGATTTCGTGATCGCATACTGTAACAGAATAATACATTCTTTCTTGTCTTCAATTCCTTACAAATTAAAGTGAAGTCAACATTGCTTAGTTTATTCCAATGAATAAATATGATTTCAGAAAGTGCAGAACTGTAATAGCTAGTATATATTTCTGAATTATAATTCGGAAAACAACAATAAAGAATCATCTGATTTACTTGAAATAATATTATTTATGTAAAATTAAATTATATAAAATTATGAGCTTATGTATACTTTTTGCTTATTTTAATGTTTGAAGTAATATGATTCTTAAAACTATGGAATGTAAAGTTTAAATAAGCATTTCATGTTATATCATTAAATTGAGTAAAACTTTTTCTCAGGCATTAGGTTTTAACTCTAATAAGAAGATACATATTTTTTTTTGTTTATTTACAAATATTTTTCCAATGTGTTTTAGATGTTCCTTCTCCAAAAAAAAATAAAAAATATACCATTTTGTTTTTGCTTACATAAGAAAGAATATCAAACATTTTTCTTTCTTAAATTTAATAAGCCACAATAAAGAAGAAACGTTACAATGCTACACTGAAGACATTTCCTGAGCAACTGAATGGCTGTTCGCATAGAAATCGCAACTATTCGTCTCATACAACAACACCCCCATAGTTCGTTGCGATCGCGAATTATAAAAATATTCCAAACATTTAATTTTTATATTTCATTTTAAAATTATGCACCGAAATTTAAACTAAGTTCACAAAGATTTATGAAATGAGATATACTTTCATTATAAAAGATAAATGGAAACTTCTAAATTATCTAATGTCTTGGCGATATCATTGCATCTAATAACTAATAACGTAATAAACATCTAATATATATAATTCTCTTACGTGGCTCCCAAATTTTGGCTGTATTTCTTTCCCGCCAGTGGCAACGTTTGCTTTGTTTTGTTTACGTTACTATTTCTCTTACACGGCGAATCGACCAATGATTGCCGCTAAAAATGTCACATGCCTAATCTAGCTGAGGGGGCTCAACATATAGCGGTTTTAAAAATGGAAACTGAAATAACCAGAGAGCATCAGCTGCGGCAATCTCATACTATTAAGCTAGGCAGAAGTGAGTAGTCTTTATCGATAGATCTCTATTTTAGTATTTTGTCAAAAGCGCTTTTTTTAACGAATTTATTTGACGATTTTTGATTTATATCACGAATTGTACTATAGCACATTTCTAATAGGTTTAACGAATTACATGTCATTTATTTTAATGACTCAGTATTTACTAAAAAGATGTAATTTTTTTTAAAAAAAAAAGCTTCGATATGGATTTGAATTCTTAGAATTTTGTGCATTTGCAATGTACCTAAGTTAGTAGCGAGCGAAGCGAGCTTGGTTTGCGAAGCAAACCATATAAGCTTGCGTAGCAATTTTCGGGGGTTGGCGAACGTTAGAGAGCAGGGGGCGCAGCCCACTAGTTTTAAATAACAGTCTTAAAGATGACGTGAAGCACACGCTCGAATATTATGTTATAAACAAAGTTATGTTGATAAACAAAGTTATGTTGATTATGTTGATAAACAAAGCACAATTATTCAGATATGTTAAGGCACATGCCCAAAATGGTACGGTTAAGATAGCGTTACAGTAACACCGCTGTTTTATACAGATACTACAGAGAAATCTGTAACGAGTTTCAACTCAAATATTATGCATAGAAAAAGGCGATGTTTTTTTTCTTTTTCCAATGCGTTGTAAAATGGCAACATTTGCCTAAATGGCTTTAGCGCCATGCTAAGACAGAAAGCTTAACTATTTGTAAGATTGATGAGTTAATTGTTTTCGTTCATTATTTTTAATTTACTTTATGAAGCTTTTTGTAATCCTTTGATTATCTGTGTTAATTCGATGAAATGCTTAAATGTTAATTTTTTAAGAACTAGGGGGGTTAGCTCCCTGTTCGCTGACGTTCACCAATCCCGTTGATTGAGAGAAAGAATAAATTTTGAAAAGCATCATTAATGTAGATTTTTTTCCCTTCACTATTTATAGCAGAACTAATAATATGACAGAATGAAATAAACAATAAATATAATCCGTAAATAATGTATGACAGAAACATTTTTAGAATAAACAGTAGATAAAAATATGACAGAAACACTTTTTTAAGCATAATAGAATAAAATATAAATTAAAGGACATGGAATTGATTAGAAAATTATATGTTCCACATAAATTGACAATATGAAAGAATTTCAAAACACTACATAAATTCATTTATTCGATAACTTTTTTTTTTAACTTTATAACCAGCAATCTAGAGCCAACCCATCTTCTCTGAGTTCAATGTTCAGTTCATGCAATTCTGAACCAGTCCCAGAAGACAAATGAGCTCCTGGATTAAGAAATGGCCTTTGTGGTCCCAAACTAGCCTTCGCGGAGGACTTCTTGACTGAACTAACCTGCATTTGCATTACATAGAAAAAACACTACAAAACCCCCACGCTTAGCCTTAAAGCAAAGAAGCTTCCAATGCAATTATAGTAATCTAGTCTTTGAATATAATTTTTTTAATAACAATGTCTTTGATAAATATTGAAAAAGACACACATCTATGAAAAATTGCATTAGTAATACCTATCATGCTTTTCAAATTAAGATAACTAGATTTGTTAATAAAAAAAAATATGTTTCACAGGTTTAACCATTTTCAACAGTTGAGCAATTCTTTTAAACTTTCTTTTTAATGAAAACCATAACTGGGTTAATTTTTTTCATTTACAGCTTATACTGCAAAAACAAAATAAAAACTTAGTTAAATACTGCTCCAGTTGTGCAAAATTAACTGTCTGACATAAAACCTAATTTAAGATCATCAAAGATAAAATGATGAAAAAATTCACTCTTCTTATTTATTTATTACCCTTGTTGAACAGGCGACATAACATTGAATTTACAACTATCAACGTTAAACTCCGTAGCCTTGTAATTTTAAACCCAGTCCAGGGAACTCCAGGACAAATCATTGAGATAAAATAATCTTTGTGTAAGCTTTTTTGATTAAACTATTCCACATTTACGTTACATGGAAAGAAAATCACAAAAACCTATCACGGTTAACCTGATGGCTAGAGGATTTTAACCTATGATCCACTGATGATATTCTACGTCAGAACTGTGGACGGAGTGAACTAGAAGCAAAATCTGTATCAATCAACCTCCGCTGGGATTCGAACCTGGGATACCGTTGAAGTAGGAGAAACTTTTAGAAAAGCATCCTCATGACGTCTGAGTAGATTGTCATAATGAAGACTGTACTTTTCTTAGTGTGGATACTGATAACTTTAAATATCTTTGTGAGTTCTTAAATTTTCCATCCTAATAGATAAAATGGTTTTTGATACATTCTGCATGGTGTTTAAGGGAAAAATGCTACTGACAAATTTGCTACTCTGCATCCATAGAGAAACAATGGGGAAAATCCAAAAAAAAAAATTCTAGTTGCTTAACAAAAAAAGGATGGAATTTTATTAAAAAATAATAACCTGAATAGTGGATTATTTTAAGAAATATTCCCTGAATTCTACAAAGTGCTCCTTTGTAAGTAACACAAATGAATGAATTTTGTCTCAACATTTGATTCAGCTGTTTCTTTGTCTTTTGAGTTGGACAGGACAATTGCAAGGCTACATTTGGTGGAGTAATCTAGCTCTTGGATTGATTTAGTGACTTATAAAAGCTATGAAACAGTCAATTTCAGAGTGCTTAATACTTTTAACTGTTTGATTATAACTTTTAATTACTTTGACACAGAGTTTATATGCAATTTTTGAAAAAAAAATTCATTGATTTACCAGAGCAGTAATTCTAAAAAATAATACACTAACACAACATATCAGACATACACAACATCAACAACACATGAGAACATTGGTGGACCAAAACACCAATTTAATTTTAAAAGTTAATAGACCTAAATTTTGATACAAAACTTATTCATTCCTAAGTAATATCTGATAGAATTTTGCAATGTCATTATATAGTAAAATATTGATACATAGGTAAATAATTCTCAAATTTAAAAAAAGATTATAAGCAAAAAACCGTTTCCATCAAACTGTGGAAATATTAAAATTCTTACCTATATTTCAAAGCATGGTCAAAATCTTTAACAATGACTGCATTTTAGAAAAATATTCAAACATTACAATAAGAAAGAAAGAAAAATGAGAAGAAAAAAAAGAAATTCTAATATTTTTTAAGATTATAACTCTTTTATTCATAGCTTTTTATCAAGGAAATTCCTTTTATTTATTTATTTCGTCACCACTTTTCCTTGGGTTTTTAAGCTAATTTAAATCCTCTTGAGTTTTTCCTTAGGTATATGAACCATGTTTTTAATTGGGAAGCATTTAGAACACTCTGTCAAACCAGGGTAAGGTTTTTTTCTTTTAATTCATGTAAATAAATACATAAAAAAGAAGAAAACATGGGACCATAATTGAAATGTATAAACACTAGATCAAGAATTTAATAATATTTTACCTCACAAAATATGAAAATATCTTACAAAATGCATTCTTCTGACAAAAATATTTTATTTGTACAAATTTATCCACAAATAACAAAAATAAATCAAAGAAAATTACTCCCTATATACATATGATGTTTATACACATTATATTTTGCAGGTGACTCTAAATACTAATAATAATAATAAATATTAAGAGAAATCCATTTTCTCAGATGGTTTTGAAAGCACAGAAAATCCAGGTCCTTTTCGAAAATACGGTCGATCTTCTTCTGGTGAAGAGGTAATAGGTTTACGGAATGGCCGGGCCACGACAGTTTCTTTAGATGGTCCACCCATTTGAGGACATCTTTTGAAACCTGGAACAAACTGTCCTCTCCGGACACACTCAATTCTGTCATCAATATCACCACATATTTGAAAGTGTCCTAAGGCTTTCACACAAAGTTCTAGACTTTCAGTAGAAGCATTGTAACAAAACCTCTGTAAAAAAAAAGTATTGAAAGAAAGAAAATATTAAACAACGAATCGAATATATGAAACTATACATGTAACAATGAAGTAGTACATAAAAAAAAATTATTACCTTTCCGTGGCTATATTTATTTCAATAAATTTGTTTTTTGACAGCTAGGAAATTTTTTTAAGCATCAATTTGGTGTTTGTTTTTCAGTTCTGAATTCCAATATTCAGAAGCATTTAAATTTTTGCAAATATATCACTGATAAAAAATTAAGTTCCCAAAGCACTGATGTTTATATAAAAATTACCATAATTATGGTCAACATATCTAAATACTTGGGCATGCTGCCTTTCATTGGTCAACTCACAGTAAAAATGGTCCTTCATTCAAAAAAGGTTTGCGCCACTAGTCTAATGGAACGGTAATGGATTTCCTTGCAGTTTTTTTTTAGCTCTTTTAAACGCATACTAGATTATGCATACTAATTTTCTAATAAGTTTGATAGGTATAGGATATGTTTTCAAACATGTCTAGAATAAGCAAAAAAGGTTATCATTCTATCAAAAAATTTAAATTGCTAAAAGAAATAAGAAAGGAAAAATGGAAACAACAGAGTACTTCATTATTCAAGGGTTATCAAAAAAGTTTTGCCATACCTATCTTATACAGTTGCCCAATTATACTGATTTTTTTGCCAACTAAGTCAGCTTCTGTTCCAATTATTGCTGCTTGAAAATATGATCAAACAAAAACAAGAGAAACAGAAACATGTAAAACAAAAATATGAATTTGATGGAAAATATGAAAAATATGAAGTAGCATCCTTCTCCTTGTTTCAAACTTTTTTGTTGTCCTCCAACAATTAGCAATATAGTGAAGGGCTACACTATTATATTTAAATACTCATTAAAAATACAGAAAAGTAATTTTTTGGTATACGTAACTATAATGTTGTTAAATAAAAATTTCCTAATTAATTTTTTTCTGACTAACTTCCCATATTATCTAACTGCTTGCATACATAAAACTAAAACCTATTTTTTATAAAACATGCAAAATGATTTAACATACTTTAGTAGGAAAGCAAGGTAGGGTGATGTGGTCTTTATCACATAAAATATGTTTATCAGCTGCTGTCTTAAACATGGAACCTCCTTTTTTGAATAAATCAGGTTCGTGTACATAAACTCTCCACATTATGTCAGATGAAAACTTTTGTGTAGAATCGGCGAGATTTTGATAGTCAAATGTGCTATTATGAGGTGCAGCTAGAAAATAATTGGAAAAATTTTTTTAAATATAAACAGACAATACATTTCATCTTAGAAAAAATTTCATAACTGCCATTTTAAATACATAAACTTTATTTTAAACACTCAGTTTAAATGTACTAACATAATATTGTTTGAATGGGCATAGTAATTTTTCTTTTCCTTTCAACGCTTTATCCCTGTACAAATCTACTGTTACAAAATACAACAAAAGAATTCAATTACATGGTGATATGAACTAAGACAGTTGCAAAAATAAAAAAAACTAGTAGAAAGAAGGAAAAAAAATTACAAATAAAACTAAACGAAGTTATTTTTACTTATTAACTATAGTCTTTTTTTATATTTTTACAAATGTGTTAGTTTTTTCTCAATTTTCATTTCGAAAAGTTTTATATAATAAGTTTTAAGTAATACTATCTAATCTTTTTCAGTAGCTCAATGGCCCTGAGTGGGTCATAGCCTTCTCCAGGTCATCTCAATGGCCTTGGCCTCTAAATTTGGCGACGACTCTCCAGTTCTTAACCAGAATGCTTAGGTCAATCTCAACACAGTTGTTTCATCTTAACGAGGGTCTACTTTGACGTCTTTTCCCATGAGCTAAAAATCTTTCTAATCTACTTTAAACTTATTTTTTTGCAACATATGAATATTTACTCTTTTTTTTTCATTCAAAATCATTTCTTTAATATTTTTTGAAAATTAAAACTTTTATAATACAACCAATATTATTTTCCAACATTGGTGTATGCATTAAAATAAATTTCATACTGGCAATAAGGTCTTTACACATTGGCAAATGTATAAAACCAGAATCAAAAAAGTAAATGTAACATTAAAAACCCAAACCTTTCACTGTTCACCCAACTAAGCTATTGAATCCATACATTCTTAGCTGCTGCTATTTTCTTAGATTTTAGAGGTCAAAAATTCATTTATTTATTCTCAACAACAAGCTTATGCATAGAATTATTTTATCTAATAGAGATTAATTATTTCGGAAGCTTTTTCACTTAACTACTCACTAATTATCAGTGTTTTCTCTAAGCATATTTTTAAAGGCAGCCCACCCTGCTTGCCCTTTGATCCAAGGAAATGTGCCCTTTTTGTAAAAATAAGCCACCATCCCTTAAAAACACTGCCTTCATATTTATACGTAATTTTGAAAAAAATAATTCACTGACTAAATAACAATTACACATAAAATTATGTGTATTCATAAATTTACTTCTAATTACTATTACAAATATTTACTTTGTTAGGATTATTCTCAAATGGTTAAATTTTTATAAGTATCTTTTTCTGGAAGGTAGATATTAATGAATTTTTAAAACTATTTTTTAAATAAACATTTTTTTTTAAAAAAATGCACCTTTAAATGTTTATTTTCTCATGACTTTCAGTTTAAATTATAGAAAAAAGCTTTCAAGTTGTTTATTAATAATTTTTTTTTAGTTTACTTTTTTGAAGAAAAAAAAATGCACAGGATTGCCTTTTACCTTGCTTTTAATTATTTTTATAAACTACAAATTTTTCTCCTATTTTGATAAAGAGAGAGAATTAATTGCTGAAATAAACACATAAAATAGTATGGAAGAGTAATTTAAAAATTGACGAGAGTGAAATTTAGTTCTTACATAATATTACACATTTTAATAAATTTTTACGGGATCAAGTGAGTGCCCTTTCAAACTCAAAATGTCCTTTTCAGAATGGAAGCCCTCTGCCTTTTTTTTTATTCTGAGGCATAACTCTGTAATTATAAATATTTAAAATTATATTATACAACGAGGCACTATACTTTCGCCAAATCATAGAAGCATTTTACAATTTAATATACATCTGTGCATTAGCAAATTGTAGACCTTGATTTCCTCCTTGCAAAGTTATATGATTAGCATAATCCAATTGGAGCTATTTTTATGCTGTATAGCGAGCGACATCACTTTGATTGTATAATCCATGTTTCCATACTTGGTGTACAAAAATTACAATGTAAACCTTACCTGGAAATTTTTTATCTGCAGATAACCCTTAACTTAGCCCCGAATAAGAGATAAGAATGTAAGAGAACTATAAAAATTAAAAGTAAAATACAACAACTTACAATTCAAATAATTTTTCTTTTCTGAAACACTAAGACTGACATTTTCTACTATCAACCGATCTCCATGCTTCAGTGGTAGGTTTTGCGTATAAACGTCATTAGGAAGTTCAAGTTCTTTTGGTGGGAAGCCCCATTTTATTTTTTGATTTTTTGCAGGAATCTTAAATTCCGTAACTATCCATTCTTGCAATTGGAAATATGAAATTCCATCTTTGTGTAAAGTAAGATTTCCCTAAATTTAGCAAGAAAAAAAAATTTAAACACAAATACTAAAAAAAAAAAATATATATATATATATACATATGGTTGTCAACATAAATTATGTAAAACTGGCTCAGAAATTACCAAAATATTACAAACTAACATGGTAAAATCCATAAAATACAAGTTGACCAAAATAAATGCATAAAATGTTTAGATTATAAATATTTTATAATTAATATCAATGATACTCGAAAGTTTTTCGTGGTTAACCCAACAATCAGAACACTAGCCTGATCATTTGAAAATTAAACTTATTGAGCCAACAAGTAATAAATTACAGAAAAAATAATTAAAGGGTATCAACAGCTAATTTTTATACAAGCTAGGTTTCAATAAAAGATTGAAATTGTTTGTATTGGAAATATAATAAAATGTTCCCAAATCAGTTTATTATTGAGAAAAAATAAAAAAGGTTTGCACTTTTTCCTGAGTCTGTGTTCCTTCCTAATGAAATCTGCCGAATTAATAAATATTTATAAATGATATAAAATATTTTGATGTTAATACCTGATTTACAAGCACAGATAGCGTTCAAAATAAATTTTTCTTCGTGCAAAAACAACCCTTAGTGATAGAAAAACTTTTTCCTTTAAGTTTAATTAAAAAAGCAACTAAGTTGAAGATACATGAAACAACATTTTTCTATACATAGGTCAAAGCTGTGATATTAATAATACCTGTTTATTACTACTCTTTAATTTTATTTTATTATCACTTTTTAATTTAATTTTTACATCAGTTTATAAAAAGATATAAGAGTTTTAAAAAGGTTATGATTTTTCTCTCCTAATGAGTTAATGCTGTTTGCAATGTATTCTATTACATTTTCATTTCGAATTAATCTGTGTTAAAACTTTGCACAACATTAAAACCAATTAAGTCTGAACAAGTAATTTCTGTCAAAATCTTTTAGAAACAGATAAACTATTGGAGGTTTTAAAACTAGTATTATTTTCATAAATAGTTTTAATTTTTCTATGGATCTTAATGAAGTTGTGTCTGTCATAAATGAAAATCAACCAGCACTAGATTTGCATTGTAATTGACCGAGTTTAGTTACCTGGCATCAGGTAATTAGAAATGAAGTCTACATAGCCAGTAGTAAATACTGAATATATATTTCACAAATATTAGAGAAATATGTATATTTTAGAACATTTAGGATGAACCGAACAATAATCAGATCACTCACACTCATTGTCAGATGTCTCACACTCATCAGATGTCTCACACTCATTTTTATTTAAAAATAAATTCAACAATAAGGAAAAAAAGTAATTTCCTTTAATATCAAAATTTAAACTATTCTTTCAAATATTGCCATAAAATTTTTTTTTCCTACTTGCTGTCCTTTTGAGGTCACAACTTTTACAAATTGCGGTTCAGAAACAACTGTATCGACATACCCAGATGAGGACTCTTCGGCCATAATCTAAATAAAATAAAAATATTACTATGATTATCAAATATTTTAATTTCTAAGCATAAAATCAAACATTTCACATGCTCTTACACACCATATTCATGTTATGGGGATTTGTGACAAATTAAATAAAGATCAATTAATTTATCATTTTTGGATGGTTCGAAGAAATTATATGTAAAATTTTGTAGTACACCATGCTTAATCATTGAGAATAATCAATAGTTAATGATCAAAGAGTGTTTGATACTGGTATTAAGATGAAAAAAAGTTCTATCGTTACAAATATTAAATAAGTACTTAGTTAAGGTCATTAATTAGTCTAACTATAAGTATCTCAGTTTAATGATTTAAAATTTCCTTGTTGCATATAAAATACAAATAACTCTTTATACAGGAAAATATTTTTATTTTATTATCTATATATCTATTATAATATCTGTCCAGTTATTATAAAAAGTATTAAACTATGTAGCATACATATGTAGGTGTATATAGACATATGTAGGTTTACATATGTCTTGTAATTTTAACAACAAATTTTTTATAAAAAAATCATTATTCTTTTATGAATATGTCTAAGACTTATATCTAAACCAGGCAATGGAGTTACAAACAAATTGCGAAAAACATGACATTTTAAAATAAATTATACTTAAAAAGTTACAGACTATATAATTCTAATGGCAATTTAACAACTTTATTTCATACTTTTATTCAGTAAATTTATTCTATGCTTAATATTTTTAATGTTTTAGTTCTCTAAACAGTAAAATGAGAATTACATAATTCACTGAAAACATGAACTATCAGTTGACATAAGCAACAATATTTTTAGGATTGCTTTAAATTTAATTACTGACCAGGAAAAAAAAAGTTTATCCATACATAAATAAAGGGTTGCCCCTAAATTTAAAAAAAAATGTACTGTAAAATAAAGATTTCATAATAAAAAGAAACTTTAGTGTAGTTTTAAAAGTTCTTGGGTTACACAGAAAAACCATAGAAATAGCACAAAATCAATAGTAATATAGATTAAGTAAATGCTAATATGAATAAAATAAGGTTAATAAAAAAAATTATAAGAATGTAAAGTATCTTCAATTTTTGCACATTAAGTTAATAATATAATAAATTAAGTACTATAACAAATAAAATTAAAATATAACATTAAGTTAATAATTATAATAAATAATTAAATGTAATACACCAATGAATTATTAACTTATGGAAGAACTTGCATGTTTTTAAATTTTTTTTTAATAAATGCAATAGAATAAGCAAAATAAATATTATTGCATAAATATAAGGCATGATTGGAACTATGAACTAGTATCTTTCCAAAAATTCCAAATTTAACAGAAAAACATATGCTTTCATAAAAAGCTTTTCTTTACATAAAATTTTATAATTGAAAGTGAAAAAAACAGTGTTTGGAGCACACAAAATGAATTTTTTGGAATACGTTATAATAATGCAAAACTCATTTTCATAAGTTCATACAAAGTATCTAATTTATTTAGTTATAAAAATTTATATTTTCAATATTGAAAATTAAAACATGGAAATGAAATATGCATTGCCATTCCTTGATATTTTTTACCTGGATTTTGAGTAAATAAGGAAGAGAATATGAAAAATATGTACAAGCAATGCAAAAAGTAAACCCTCACAAAAAAAAAAAATAGTGTTAAGAAAAGTCAAATATAACATAAAACATTTAAAAAAGTTTATAATCAAGCATATATGATATTAAAAATAAATAAAAAGTATGGTACAAGGTGCTCAGTAAGATTTTAGGAACTTAAGAACACCAGATTTAGAAGAAGAAAAAACAATTTTAAAAAAAATCTTCGGCACTTTAAATTGTTTTGAAAACTTTACCAAAATATTTAATGAGAAAGTTTTCTTAAAAAAAAAAAAAAAAAACGGCTGGTGCANAAAAAAAAAAAAAAAAAAAAAAAAACAGAAAAGACAAGGAGATAGCTTGTTTGAAAATCTTGTTATAAAAAACTTCAGATAAATAAACACTCCACTTTTAGAAATGAAACTAAAGGGAATTCTAAAATCATCTATCAATGAAAAATTTCCATCATACTAAGAACTTTTGTCGACTGAGATATACATATTCACTCATTTGTTTACCTGAATTTAAATTTAATAAACAATTCTTTTCCAAAGTTGTTTCTTGCAATAAATTTAAAATTTCAGAATTTAAACTACCTTTGATTGTTAATTATCTTTAGGATCAATGATTCTTTAATTCAAAAAGGGTTTTAATAATAAAAATAAAACTATTAATACAAATTATCAATAAAGATAAACATATTTCACAAATAATTTTTCCTTAAAAAAAATAAATTATATATATAGAGAGATAGATAGATGGATATAGATAGATATTATGTTAATTTTCTTTTATACACATAGTTAACACATGTAATTATTCTGATATAACTTATAACAACAACTATTAAAAAAAATCACCTACCTCTTTCTCATTTTTTTCCGAAGTTACTGGTGACTTCAATGCATCAGCTGGTAATTTACTAACTTGATTGTAGATCATATCACTAACATACATATCAAATTCAACATTTTGAGATTCACCTGAAGAAAATATAAATAGTTTCTAACCCAATTTTTACAACACAGATTTTAAAAAGAATTTAATATGCATAATCTAGAATTACTATTTTTCTTAAGTATATTTTTTGCAAAGATAAATGTATTTGCTTTACATATATTTTTCTTTCCAAACATAATGTAATAATGAATTGAAATTGATAAAACTAAAACCTGTGTTATAGTTTTTCAATAGCTTGTGTTTACTTTTATATTTGTTGATTCAAATAAAGTTAAACATATAAAACTCAAATTTGTTGTCACCTACAATAAAAACCAATACTGGACTTCAAAAAAAAATTTCAAATTTTGTTTTTTCTTTTTTTTTTTTATAAAAAAATTTCTGCGCTTTTCAATGTAAGGATTGCCTAATGTGAAACTCACAGAAGTTATATTGCACCACGTAAGCTATACAGGTGTCAACAATGAAAATCAAATTGAAGAAATTTCTAAAACTGAGCAAAATAACTGTACACAGACTACAAGAAAAATTCTTCGCAAAGAGATTATATAATCAATCAAATTTTTAATACTATTTACATGTTTTATTTAATTATATTAAGTGATTAATTTTTCTTAATTTATATTCCTGTTTTGAATTTACATTTTTTATACGGTTGTTCGTGAGAAAGCATGAGAAAACCTAAAAAACAACCTATTTCAGATCACGTCTTTTGACAGAGGGAGGCGATGCTAGAGAAAGGAAGGTNAAAAAAAAAAAAAAAAATAGTGTTATGAAAAGTCAAATAACATAAAACATTTAAAAAATTTTATAATCAAGCATATATGATATTAAAAATAAATAAAAAATACAGAACAAAGTGCTCAGTAAGATTTTAGGAACTTAAGAACACCAGATTTAGAAGAAGAAAAAACAATTTTAAAAAAAATCTTTGGCATTTTAAATTGTTTCGAAAACTTTACCAAAATTTTTGAAAAAAAAAAGAAAAAAGAAAAGACAAGGAGATAGCTTGTTTGAAAATCTTGTTATAAGAAACTTCAGATAAATAAACACTTCCCTTTTAGAAATGAAACTAAAGGGAATTCTAAAATCATCTATCAATGAAAAAGTTCCATCATACTAAAAACTTTTGTCGACTGAGATATACATATTCACTCATTTGTTTGCCTGGATTTAAATTTATTTAACAATTCTTTTCCAAAGATGTTTCTTGCAATAAATTGAAAATTTCAAAATTTAAACTACTTTTGATTGTTAATTATCTTTAGGATCAATGATTGTTTAATTCAAAAAGGGTTTTAATAATAAAAATAAAACTATTAATACAAATTATCAATAAAAATAAACATATTTCACAAATAATTTTTCCTTAATAAAAATAAATTATATATATATAGAGATAGATAGATGGATATAGATAGATATTATGTTAATTTTCTTTTATACACATAATTAACACATGTAATTATTCTGATATAACTTATAACAACAACTATTAAAAAAAAATCACCTACCTCTTTCTCATTTTTTTCCGAAGTTACTGGTGATTTCAATGCATCAGCTGGTAATTTACTAACTTGATTGTAGATCATATCACTAACATACATATCAAATTCAACATTTTGAGATTCACCTGAAGAAAATATAAATAGTTTCTAACCCAATTTTTACAACACAGATTTTAAAAAGAATTTAATATGCATAATCTAGAATTACTATTTTTCTTAAGTATATTTTTTGCAAAGATAAATGTATTTGCTTTACATATATTTTTCTTTCCAAACATAATGTAATAATGAATTGAAATTGATAAAACTAAAACCTGTGTTATAGTTTTTCAATAGCTTGTGTTTACTTTTATATTTGTTGATTCAAATAAAGTTAAACATATAAAACTCAAATTTGTTGTCACCTACAATAAAAACCAATACTGGACTTCAAAAAAAAATTTCAAATTTTGTTTTTTCTTTTTTTTTTTTATAAAAAAATTTCTGCGCTTTTCAATGTAAGGATTGCCTAATGTGAAACTCACAGAAGTTATATTGCACCACGTAAGCTATACAGGTGTCAACAATGAAAATCAAATTGAAGAAATTTCTAAAACTGAGCAAAATAACTGTACACAGACTACAAGAAAAATTCTTCGCAAAGAGATTATATAATCAATCAAATTTTTAATACTATTTACATGTTTTATTTAATTATATTAAGTGATTAATTTTTCTTAATTTATATTCCTGTTTTGAATTTACATTTTTTATACGGTTGTTCGTGAGAAAGCATGAGAAAACCTAAAAAACAACCTATTTCAGATCACGTCTTTTGACAGAGGGAGGCGATGCTAGAGAAAGGAAGGTCAGGTTAGTCATATTGAGAATTTCCCGAATTGGTCATAAAAAAAAAGAAAATAAACCATCAGCTGGCAATTTTTTATTATTCTGGACTTGTTTTTGTTCTATTACGATTAGACAACTAGGAAACAATACTTTTTTCTTCTTTTTAACATTTATTACATAAATCAGAATATACTTACTTGGAAAATATTGAGCAGCAATATTTTTTGCCAAAATTGATATACAATCTTGTATTGAACTGCCAAGCTCTTTGAAGTTTGATGGAGATATTGAATACTGAGCAGTTTTTCCTTTCCATTCGAGATCTAAGACCAACCTATTTAATAAACAATACCAATTATTTTGAGCGAATCATTATAAAATGGCATTTCAGAGCTAATTTGTTGTATAACATAAAATTTAGACTTTTTTTTTCTTTTAATACTTTTTATTCATCATCAGATACTACCAATAAAATCAAATTGGTGATCCCATTCTCCAGCTAAAAATACTTACAAAGTATGGGTCATTAAATATAAAATATTTAAGAGGTTTTATAAGCAGTAAATAGAAGTATTTTAAAAAATAGGAACATGCGTCTATCGTGGAAACAAATACTACAACTCAGAGAGGAAATAAAAACACAGTTATCAAATAATTCAACACATTTTCTAGTATGGCAATTCAATCAAAAGCATTTTATAATCTCAAAAGCATGTTTCAAAGACAAAGAACTGATTGGTCAATTTTTAAAATTGATTGTTTCAAAATGGAGGGTAATAAAGCAAGATCTGGAATTGATAATACTGAGCCAAACTCAAATGACACTACATAAGGTTAAGGGAAAAAAGTGCATTATAAACTCTCATCCATTCATTCACAAATTGAAATTTTGACCTGAACCAGAAAACGATTACGCTCCAATTCAGTACCCCTAGAGGTATAGTTTGTTATGGGAACATGGAGGACTTTGTGACCTGACAGATTTAATGTGCATCAGTCACCATTTACTACACGGGGAGTCTTCGGAGCTGGATTCAAACTGCTATTCTCACGAGCCTCAGTCCAACACTCTACCAACCGGACTATCCCAGCCAATCATCATTATTTAATTTTAATAAACACATTTATGATGAATATTTATTATACTTGGCCTTGGCAGTATATTTTGAAACATGTCAAATACACAAAATTAAAATAGAGTCATACAGCTAATATTATTCTAGAGTTTTAATTTATTTCTTCTGGGAAAATTATTCTGATATAATTCTGGAATCAGCAATTTTTCAAAGACAATTTAGTAATGTACGATTGCCTGTTTTCAGATTCTCAATAAATATCTTAGTTTTTTTTTTAGCTTCTAACAAAGCAGGTTTTGTCATTTTAAATAAAAATTAAATTAAATTTTAAAAATCTAAATGTATACAAATGTACAATATTAAAATAACTACCAACAATTATTAACAATGTTATTTTATTCCCTTAAATTTTTAAGAAAATCATAAGAAGTTCTAAAAGTTTTAAAACAATATTTTTTCTAAACTAACAAAGCAAATCCTTCATTTTCGGTGAGTCTATGCTGTTAAATGGTATTTCAACATCTAAAATTTGTTAACAAAAAAAAAAAAAAATCTTCACATAAATAATACATAAGAACAAAAAAATTAAAAATTTCCACCATTTGGCCATTTTTTTTTTATCTAAACTGAAGAAGTTTAGTGCTAGGATCATACCTCTATTATGATCATACAATTCAGAACATCTCTTTCTGTTTGTGTTTTTAGGTATGTAAAAAATTAGAGTTTTATCATGCATTTACAAATAAGACAGAAGATTTAAAATTGAAAAAAAAAAAATAATAATACATACAATTCGGAATATTTATTGGCTGCAGAGTCATTTTTCGGCTCTCTTTTTAGCAATTTACTGTCTGGATTAGTTCCTGAATTCAGCATTGTATTTAAAAACAATCTATTTTCTTGACTAGAAACAGTTTGTGATTTCAATATTTTATCCACGAGTGATTTATTTTCCTGACTAGATACTGATGAACTAGTGTTGGTGTAACTTTGATCTCCCGGCAATCCAACTATTGTATCATTAGGTTTAAGCCTTTGAACATTTGAACTGAAAAGAAAATAATGCAATGAATAAAAATATTTCAGAAAGAATATTCTCACAAGAAATATAGATTAAAATCCTTGTGGGAAAGTAATGCATAAATAATAAAACAAAATAGCATTCTGAATAATTTTTGTGGGTTCTGATAATTCTATGATATAAAAAGAAAGGAAAATGACAATGCTACAGGAGATAATTTGCAATTCCAATAAACTGTAATTTTCTTCTGCATTCCATAGATTGCACCACTGATAAATTAGATACCCAAGGTATAAATTGGTGAGTGAGCACCAGAAGAATTTAATTGGGGGTACTTGCTGCATCTTATATGCATATTGCTGCATTTTAATATGATTGCATTAGCAATATAACAAGCAGTATCAAAAGCGAGACACCATTCAGTTGAATCTTGTGTGATCTACATTATCAAGCATTAATACTTTAAGAATGAATTGATTTTAGTGGCTCCATCTATGAAATAATTAACACTAGAACAAACGGCATTTTCACTTAGCTAGAACGACCATAGCAATCAGTTTGATTGCAATAAGAAAACAGGAATAAATGTTCATTTTCAATTTAAATATCATTATAAAAATTTAAAATGAGTTATTTTAAAAATTATAAAATTCCTCCGAATTTTTTAAAAGTATTTCATATCCTATAAAAAAAACTATTTTCATGAAGAATAATATAATAATAAAATAGTTACATAACTATTTCAGATATTAGGACAATTCCCGTAGAAATGAATCTATTAATTTCATTATGACATGTTTACCAAGCTGCATACTTCTGTCCCAGTCTTCATATTTTCCCAGATGCATAAAATTATTCAAAAGAAATTTGGTCTCAAAATTGAAAGACTGGCAGAGTTTTAACTTAAATTTATCAGGCTTATTTGCCCTCACTGAATAAATTTGCTATGTTTTACACTGCAAAAGCAGTTCATCAATTGTTATAAGTTTCTTTTCAATAAAACACAGGCCTGTATTTTAAGTAAAATTTAACAGTACTCTCAAAAGGAAAATTGGTCAAATTTGCTGTTCCTAAGCAGATTCATCAGGGATTAGCAAAAAAGAAGCAGATCGCCTCAGGAGGGAAAAGAAACACGTATGCAGCGTCGATTTAACCAGAAGCATTGAGATAATAAAATAAAGAATAAAGATAAATATAGATAAAATATAAATAATATAGATAAAATACAAAATATAGATAAAATAGACATTAGAAAGAGTATATTATTTCAAAATAATAAATTCTTAAATCTTTACAGCGATTTTTAGGGTTCCCGCCACTATTGCAACAGGGTGACAATTTTCGCCAAATGTGCTACAAATGTTGCTAAATTCGTACATATGGAAGACAATTTGTCACTTTGAAATAAGTTTGTAATTTACAAAATAGTAACAAAAAACAGATTTTTTTAAATAGATTATAGATCTATAGATTTTATAGATCATAGATATTTTTTTTTATAAAAAAAAGATTTATATATGCAGAATTTGGCGTAATTTAAAAAAAATTGTGATACTAATTTTTATTTTTATATGCCTGTTATTGAATTCATGTGTGTTTTTCAAATAAAATAACTGAAAGTGCCTAAAACAAAAAACTTTAAATTTAAATGTTGAAAATTCAAATTTGTATGTTGTGCTGTGCTTTGCATTCATATACTGACAGTATAATTGTTCATCAATAAAATAGTATTTTTGCTGTTTTAGAATTGTTAGAGTTAAAGTTTATATAATTTTCAAATAATTAATTTTTAATATAATATTGTGTTAGTTCTTACTTTCTCTGTTTTCCTCATTTATTTGGATTCAGTATTTTAATCTCCATGTTGAATCTATTTACTAATATTATTCTAGCTTTTTTTTCACTTAATTTTAATAAAAACTAATCTTAAATAAATCATCATAAGGTAATAAACCTAATCAGTTTTAAGGTACAATAGGTGCAAATTAATAATTTTTGATGAGTGTCATAACATGAATTATGAAAACATAAAGGTTGATTTTTTCCCCCTCAAGTTTGTCTACTATATTAAGTTTTTGGACCATTAAAGGAATATCTAGTAGGTGGTCCTATTAGACCACTAAGTCTTCATTGCTGGTGTGAACCCTAGCAATTTTTTTTACCGCTATGGTCATTCTAAGGAGAACTTCAGTTTATGCACTTATATATAATACCTAATAAATTTTACCTCACAGTCATTTGCAGAGTTAAAATAAACACAACAAGATTAGTGTGAATATATATATATATATACATACATATATACATATACATATATATATATATATAAATACACATTATTATGAAGCAGCAGTATCTGATAATTAAATTACATAAATAGAATTTCTTATCCCCTTATCAAAAACCCACATTACAATCAAAGTCTAAAGCCACCAATTTTTCTAATTATTCCACTGTGAATGGATTTCCTCAACAATCCAATGTCTCCTCCAATTTAATTTACACATAATGCGAGATTACGAAGAATAACAAATAAATACAAGGTAATGCAAATGAATGACATATAGAAACTAAGTTGATCTTTGGTTTCCTTTCAAATAAGAATCCAAGTTATTTTGATTTTTAATTTCACTTTGATTAAGAGAGTTAGTATAGTAAGACTTTAAACAAACAAAAAGTTAAAAATTTAAGGATATTACCTATTACACACTGTACATTTAGGCAAGCTCATCACAGTAACATCTGGATAAAATTCATTTTTCACTGGGTCATATTTACAACTGTGATCTAAACCAGAAGAAAATAAGTTGGAACATATTATTAAATAATAATGAGACTGAGAAAAACAAATTACAAACAAAAATTAGGTGCCATAATGGACACAATTTAAAAATCTGAGATTGCTTGTTGGATTTGGTTTTGTAAATATAAAAAACAGACAAAAAAAAAATTGAATCATAAAAAAGACAAACTTTACTTGCAAATAATTTTACCCTGATTCAGGAAAAAGTTAAGGCATAAAATATAAAACTATAAAAAGAAATTAGGAATTGAACTCCAATCAAAGTCTAATGAAGCCCAGAATTATAAGAAAAATCATGTACAACCAATTCAGAATAATTTTTAAATTTCAAACCAAATCTAATATTTTTTCTTATATTTTAATTTGAATACATTAGACAATAATGAAATAAAGAAAAACAAATAAAAATAGAACATAAAATTCAATTCAAATTTCCGAGGTGAGTATTAGTTTTACTTCATTTTGATTTAAAATATTAAAAAAAAAAGTGTAATCCTACTATCTGTTTAGAGTAATAAAAATATCGACAAAAAATATATATAAATAAAAAACCACACACTTTGCACACTATTTCATCTTTATACAACATAACTCTTCACATCTATAAATTATGATCTGACTACTAAAAGATAATAATTAATAGAAGTGTAGAAGATTATGTTATATTAAACAAATCAAAAATAATAACTGTAATTATAGAGAGAGAGATTTATTAACCCTCTGAACATCAGTCCTGGCATTTTTTTAAGCGCAATATTTTCTAGGGGTTAATGCTTGGAAAGTTAAACCGATTGAGACCTTCAAGTAACTAAGAAATTGTAAAACTAAATAAATTAAGCCAAAAAATCATTTATGTTATGAAATGTATAATTTAAATGAAAGTGTAAAATAAAAAACAACTAACTAAACTATTAAAGATGTTCTTTTACATTATTTTAAATTCTAAAACAACAAATTGTGCTAATATAGTGTTTTTTTTCTCATAACTTACAATTTGCGACAAGAAAAAATTCAAAAAAATTATTGATTAAAAAATTATGACTAGTAAATTCAGTCATCAAACTCCCATCAATTATTTTGATCAAAATGGAGTTTCTAAAATTAACTTGTCAAGAGTCAATAAAAAAAATGTAATAGAAACATTATCAATATCTAAGCATACCAAAATAAAAAAGATATTAATACAAATTGTAAACCTTTTTCTTTCATAAACTAAAATTATAAAAAATAAATTATTTGTTGAATAAAGAAAAACTTACCAGTACCAGGTACTTTATAGGAAGTATCAGCATCAAAATTTGTATATGTTTCGAAAAGTAAACTATGAATTACACTTCCAGAACAAAATAGAGAAGGAGTAGGCTGAAATTTACACATTGCTTTACAATACAGACATTGATATAAGTAGCCTCTTTCTGCAGCAATCTTGGTGTGTTCTATCATGGTTTCAACTTTGACATTTAAATATGCTGTCAAAAAAAAAAAAAAAAAAAAAAAAAAAANAAAATTAAAAAAAAAAAAAAAAAAAAAAAACATTTAAAATTGTTTTTCATGAAAACAATAAAAGTAAATTTGTACACGTCATTGTAAGGAATAGAAGCAGAAATTAAAAGTTTAATAACACAGCATTGCAAAAAAATACTTTGTAAAAATCAGTGCAATCTTCCACTTTCTTTCTCACTTACTGCACTTAAACTTTTAGGAAAATATTCCCGGCACAAATTGAAAAAACGAACTTTTAAATTGATTATTTGGCCTCAAATCTTGAAATTTCTTTTAGCATCTCTTTTACATTAATTTTTAAAATTAATTCCAGGTTTTACAATCAAAAAATTTATTAAACAGAACAGTTTTTGCAAAAATAATTTAATTTTTCAAGAATAAAAAAAATATAATTTGTTTAGTATTTCTAAAATAAACGTAATTTTAGTATTAAATATTCATTATCAAACTAAAATAAAAATAACATTACTTATTTTTACATAAAATTAAAGGATTTCTTTCTTTCTTTTCTATCATGTCAGGTGAGTATTTTGCTACAATACAATCACTTAACATAAAAAAAACCAATTATATATGCTTTCTCATCATATGTAAAATCACTAGTAGGCTCAGCTCCCTGTATGCTGACATTCCCCAACCACAAAACATTGGCATGCAATCTTATATAAATGGCTCTGCAGACCAGACTTGCTACTAAATTAAACCAATTTGAAATTTGTTCTAGTGTAAAGTCTTAAGAATTTCAATCAACTATTAAAATCTTTAAAACAAAGTCCCCTTTAAAAAATGTCAATAAGGTATTGAAATTAAAAAGATTTTAGATTGAAATAAATAACACGCAATTGAAAAAATTGCAGAAGCAAAACAATTATGCTTTTAAAAAACAAAATGTATGAAAGCACACCTCATATCCATTTTTTCAATGCTACATCTATCATAATTATCATCAATACTTTCTTCCACTTTTTGAACACCCTTTGTTTTTTATTAAACTTAAAAAGCATAGTAGCATGATTAATATTAATTTCTCAATGAATTATAATAGCATTAAATTAAATAATTATCATTGAACCGGCATAATAAAGAACATAACAGAATTGTTCTATAAACATAACATGGAACAGTTTGTTTGCTGATATGAATTATTTTCTCTTAACCTAAAAATATTCTTTGGTAGAACATGCCTAAAGATAAAACTTCCATTCTATGATAACTCTAACCTTAATTAATATAAGTAGACCATAAATAATAGAACATAATGTAAATTGAAAATATTATTTTGATCAATAGAAACAGACTTAGGTTTTAACAAACTGTAATAATCTATTCATAAATATACAAACCAGGTTCAGAGCAAATATATAACTTAGCATCAGCAACTAACAAGGGATGAACCCCTTTCTTTTCCAAAAAGAGTGTTTCCATAGCTTTAACTAAACGTTGAATGTAATTTTCGGATAAAATTCTATCACCAGCAATTACGCAATTCCCTTTGTTATCTAACTCTATATAATTTTCAAATTCAGTTTGGGGCATTCCCCATACTTTTGGTATCAGAGATCGAGGCAGTACAGGAAGGGGTCCTAAAATAAAGAAAATTGAAACACTTTATAAATGTTAAGTGATTCAGACATTGAAAGCTGTTGACATTAGAAAATGTTAAAAAAAATATTCATGAAACCTTTTAACAATGTAGTAGAAAGAAAAGTATGCTGCAAAAAATATTTAATGAAATTTTTTATACATGAAGTTATTTGATTGAGCTGTCAAAAATAATGATTATGTTGAAGACTTAGCACTTAATCAGAGGTTAAATTCAAGGCAGCTGAATATGCCTGATTGTACAAGCAAGGTTTGAGAGAAATTTAGACAGCACTGAAAATTTTTTGGTATGATTTAAAAAAAATACTGAATTTATAAAAATCAAATATACATTTTTAGTCTCTTTTAGAACAATTTTTCATTCCTAATGCCATATCAGCTTACTGTATAGAAAGAAAAAGAATATTTTCTGTTATGTTAGATGTAACACAAATAACTTTATATGTAACTTTGTCTATTTATTAGTTGTCCTTAATTTTATAAGTGGGACATTAAATTTAGTTTAATAAATTAGTACTATTTCACTGTATATTGATTTCAATTCACATATGCTAATTTATTGAAGAATTGTGTAAAATTAAATAAATGTATTTTTTCTTTAAAATTTTTTTTAACACGATAAAAACTAAACTATCAAAAATATTTGGACAAAGTTACTGTAACTTTTAAAAAAAGCACTTTAATGTTGGTAGGAATTTTAAACCTAAAAAACTATGTTCTGGGGAAATATTAGGTTCTGAGAATTTTCTGAAAACATGGTTCAATTATGATGCTAACGAAACATCCTAAAAAGCTAAAAAGTAATGTTTGCACTAAATAAAGAACTTAGCAGAATCAGATGTTTAAATAGTATTTAACAGAATTAAGGATTGATAACACTTACAAATCAATTTATAAAAATATAACTAACTTTTCTGAACTCCAACTAGAGGAATATAATGATTGTGACTAAAGCTGCTCCAAGCAATACAGATTGGCTTGTTTAAGGTATTATCTTTACCCCTACAATCTTCAGGTGGAATAAATCCAGGCAGGAAAAGAGCTAAAAAAGTTATTAATTATAAGAAAATATTTTAAAAATATTTTGTATCAGCAAATAAAATAAATTTTATAAAGATATCATTCCATTGCATAGGAAATTTTTAGGATAAATATTTTTCAAACTTAATATTGATACAATTTTGAAATCCTTATAATTCCATTCAAACATTAAAATTATTTGTTAACAAACTGTTATCATTAACTGTTAAATGTATGACAACAGAACAATTTGTTTTGTTCAGAAAATTTTACAAAATGTAAATTTTTTATATGATATTGATAAGAAGCTTTGATTAGGAGATGTTTCAGTAACATGTAACATCAATCTAATTTTTCAAGGTAAATTATTTTAAAAAAATTACATATGAGGCATGAACATTAGAAAGAAAAAACAATAGAAAGAGCAATAGAAAAGTCTTCATCATTAAAACTGATACACTCTATAGGTATTTCTTTGAGTTATTGAAAAATCAAATTATAACCAATTAAGTTATCAGAGTTTAAAATGAATAAGTACAGTGTCTGTAGTCTACATCTATAAACTTTTGACAAAACTCTAAAACTAGATTCTCTGTTAAAAAGTTTAAGGTAGAGAATTTGCATTGAATTTTACTTAGTCATCAAAACAAAATTTCACAAAAAAAATACTAACATTCTTTACTAAATTATAAACAAACCTGAGTAATCACCACACTTTTTCATGCACTCCAATGAGTCTAAAAGGATGATTGGCCTTTTTAAAACATTAGCCAGTCCAAAGATATGGACATTTCGCAATCCATGCAGCTCTCCCTCGGGTGGTTTGAACTCTGGATCACTTTCTTCAATGATTGCTCGCCAATCTTCTGGTTCTACAAAATCTTTAAATAGTTCCTAAAAATATGAAAAAATTTAAATTATTGGATACAAAAAAGAATAATTAAAAGAAAACAGTAGATTAGAAATAGTCACTATTAAAATCTAATTCATTCATACTAGGCTCAAAAAATGTCATTTTTGAGACAGAAATAACTTTTATCAAGTCACTCGAGCTCATGGGAAAAATTTTATAGACATCTGTTCTTCTCATTTAATTATAGGTGTTTAGTCTGTTAAATGTTTTGTGTGTCTGTACTTCTTTATTTTTATGAAACTCTGTAAAGAGCTTTAACAAAATTGTCGCCTGATGTTGTAAAGCTTTAATATAGATCAGTAATTCTTTTTATTAATGAAATGTATAGCTTACATTTTTAAAAAATTTCCATAATACAACTAAACTTTGAGTACAATAAAATTGCCATATTAGATTTCTTTTTGGCATTGGAGGAAAGTGGTACCAATAAAAATGCATTAAAAGTGGATGGTGATGAAAAAAATTGCCAAAAAATTTTAGCAAAGTAGGTCATTTCCTTCAGACACTCAATCAAGGGGTCATTTATGACTGATGTCCTTAGAGGTGAGGCGGGAGATTTGTGAAGCTGTTAGTTACAAGGGGGTAACCAGAAGTGAGACATTTGGTTCAAATAAACCATTCGAACCAGCAAATTATTTTTTCAAGAACACAAATAATAGTAATTATTGACACGCTCACAATGGTCATTTAAACATGCAGGAGTGATGAGTGCCCAGCAGATAGTTAACAAGCAAGAGAAATGCACCATCTATTGGTTAGAAGAAGGATCAAAGTATGGACAAAGTGGATCGCTGCTTGACCCTTAAAATTTCACCAGTTTACCAAGAGAAATCTATGGATATCCATCAGATGATCAGTCGCAGAATTTAGCAGACATTCAATGAGTAATTGGCATATGTGGGGAAGCTTGTACCCCCTTTTCAAGCTGATTTTGGATGTACAAGTTGAGGAACAAAAATTAGAAGTCATTTGGTGTGAAAAAGAAACTTAGGCATCGGTGGAGTGACATTACTAGCTCCCTGAATTGAAGTGCCAGGTAAGAAAAAAATTGGAAAGTTTAAGTATTGGCTTACAACATTCTCTGCTTGGTTGATGTGTGAATGAATCTTTGCAAGGAACATCTTGGTTTAAATACCGCAAGCTTATTTTTGCCAGAAAATTGTTTCTACTCTACTGAAAACCACAGCCAGATCTTTAGTTTTAAATGAGCCAAAAAGGAAAAATTTTACAACTAAACCGAGAAACACACAAACAAGCCAACAAACAGTTCCAGACAATTGGATGCCTGAAATTCCAATGAGGCTCACCCTAAAAGGGGAAAAAGTGCAAATTGCAACTCGGTGGCCCGATGTCAGAACATGTCTATGCAATGTAGCATGACATGTGAGAAGGAGTATAATAAAGGGAGACAGTTTGTAACATAGAGGAAGGGGTCAGAAAGAAACATTGCAAAATCTGTGATATCATTTATGAAATGCTATGAAATAAGCTCTCCAAGCCTTTTGGCAAAATTTCACAAAATTAAAATCGACAAAATATACAAAACTTTCCCTACTCTGCAAAGAATCATAAGAGGATAAACTTCAAAGTATGCATACAGTATAGTCCAAGCAATACAGGATTTTATCCAGAAAAAATAATGGAAGTTTTTATCTTTTATTTTTTTTAAACATGCATCAACATATTGAGAGCATTTTTATTTATTTTTTTGGAAAATATATTTTATCCGGAGGAAAAAAAAACTCACTATCGAAAGACAGTTCTCTTTCTGAAATCATAACTTTCCTTGCATTTTCCATAAAATTATATTTTAAGGGTCTTTTCTAGATAAAGATTTCTTGCCTCTCTCCTTTCATTTTTACTCAATTTAACTCAAGTATGTCATGTATACAAACTCAGCATTCCCTTTTCAAATTACTCTCATCCTCAGGAAAGAAGTTTTTCTCTCAAAGCCCTTTCCCTAATTTTCTTTAAAACTTCCTTAAAACCATGAATTTAGTTCCTCTTTTTCAACTTTTAGGGTAAAATATTGTGCTTTACGAAACAAAGTTTAGAATTTGAGTTTATATCAGTCATAACCAAAAAATTTTTCAGGGATTTCTAGTTTTTGCCTCTTTTAATTGTTTTAATTTTTGGGGCAAACTTTATATTTTATTATTCCGTGAAGTTTGATAGTTGAAAAAGGTTTACTGACAATAAAATATATAATAAAAAAATGAAGCTAGATTACAAAAATAAGATATGATTGCATAGATGCAAATTTCTTTCGAAAAAAAAAAACATTCATTGATGGTGTTATCTCTTAATTTAAAAAAAAATCTTGCTGCTTTGAAAAATAGATTTTATATCTTATGATTACCTGCCATTCTGTAACTCTTTTGAGAATGAATTTCTTTTTATAAGTAAACATATGTTGCAGCACTTCCATAATGACCAAGCCTATTCTTTAACTTTTTTTATATCAGAAGTAGTTTACAACTCTACATTACAGCTGGTTTTTTCTTTTTAGTAAATGAATTAAACACTAATTTCTGGCATAAAAAAGCCAGTCCAGATATAATTTTAAAAACACAAGAGATATTTTGCATTTAACAATAGAAAAAAAGATAAAAAGGATAAATTTTAGCTCTTGCATTGAGAGCTTTAATTACCTGGTAATTATTCAAATTATTTTCGAAATGCTTCTTTAAACAACATCTTAATGGATGCCAGAATAGTTCCCTTCCTAGCAGTGCCCTGGATATTGCATGAACAAGACAGTGACCATCCCCATCTGTATATATTGGTACTAAACGCTCTTCCCCATCATTTGATTCTTTAATAATATTCAGAGTTGCAGATAGGTAGTTCATACTTCCAGAAATATCGCGACCAAATCCTGTGATTGATAGTTGATCAGGATGTATCAGAAACGCACGATCTTTGAATATGCTACAATCCAATATATCACCTTTGTTCATTTCAATCAGAAGTTTAACTTGACCTGTGGCTTGGTCCATCCCATAATTTGTTAAGAAAGGAGACAATAACTTACAATAATAATTCGAGAGGCCATTTACTTTAACTAGGTCTGCTCCTCTCTTTGGTAAAAAATGAGCAATACATCTTCGAAAAAATGTCATCTTTATTTCGTCATAATTATAGACAGGTACAGCATCTTGTAAAAAATTCTGATCATATTTTATGCCACATTCCCAACATACAACACTAATTTCTGACGGACCTACAGGAATCACGTTCCTGCACATTGAATCCTTACAAATAAATTTTAATAACGATAACTCACTCATTTTGTAAAGAAAAATAGGTGCAGCAATATAAACAATACTTTTGGTATTAAAATATAAAACAAAAACAATACTAAGAAAAAATTATCGAATTAGGGTAAAGATCTTAACATTATATAGCAAACAATGATTAATTATGTCATGATAAAAACTTATTAACTCCTAATAATTCATGGATGTCAAATTTTTGGAGCATTGGGACCAACGTTATTATTTAAATATTTCAACAAAAGTTCATAATAATTTAATGCACGAGAGAGGTTACTGGCACTATCTGCAAGAACAAACATCAACAACAACAGTAATAAATAAATATTAGTTTAGAATTGCTCACACAAATGAAACGCACTATCGGGCTTAAAAAAACTAAGTTCGTAAAATTTGGAAAAAGCTATTCATTTCAACTAAATGGATTAAACTCAAAAGTTGAAAAGATCCAGAGATTAATAACAATTACAAGCAATTTTTGATTGGACTGAAGTGATGCGTCATGAACGTTAAGTCTGTTGAGAAAGAGATGTTTCGCTTTTAACTTGCCTGGCTTTTTTTAAAATTTATTTTACAGGGCGACACCTAGCGTTAGAAACTGTAACTATTTTCCAGGGGATTCTTGTCTGTTCACCCCATTAGCCACATTCGATTGTTGTTTTTGGTTGAAAGTTAAATTGAAAGAACATGTTATATTATAAAAATCCCAAATATAATAATATTGGATGGCACACTTTGAAAAGCTTTGAATTTAAAATGTATCGGAATAACCCGGACGAATTTTTACCTCTAACACCAGCTTTATATTGTACTTAGCTTTATACAGTTATCCGTCCAAATAAGATATTAATAAAAAGTAAGAAGTGGTGGAACATTTATTTCAAACTGCATACAAATGCAAAGCAATAAATTATATTATTTTACATTTAATGCACCACAAGCTATCATTTTTCATTTAAACTTCTCAAGAAAAATGTACGTACATGTGCGATTGTTTTTGTAAATGAAATGTTTGACGAATATTTTCAACTCATGTTTCTCTTTCTGGATCTGAAACGTTTCCGAACTATAAGAAAATATTTCCTCATGTTTTATAAATAATGAAATAACAATCAATACATCAAACATATTTTAAAAACATCTGCAAGAAAACCATCCATTACATTTCAGAATTTTAAATGCAAACAGTCAAAGGGAATCCCATTCTAGAATTCAAACAAATTACTTGCAATAATTTTTTTTGAATTAGCTTTTATTGAGCAATGAACTACGACTTAAAAAAATATTTTCCACATCGATTATTTTTTAATATTATATTACAAAGTTGTCTAAATTTGGCTATTTAAGCTAAAAATAGGCAAATTTGAAAGCTTAGTAGACGGTTCTCAATTTAATAAAAACTATCATATTCTATACTCATGAATTTATACAATGTAAAATAAACATCAAAGCGGAAGTAGTAAAAAATAAACAGTTCTTGTTTCCATAACAAGCATTTTAGAAAACCACTGTTTGAGTCTTGAGAAAACCACTGATTGAATGGCTATACTTCGTGTGACATTTCTTGAGATATAAAAATTCAACAGAGTCTTATACCGATTTATTAGAAGTTTAAAATACAAATTCGTCGAAAAAGAGATTCTTTTTTCTTCAGAGTAAGTATTTTTAATCCCTCAAATCAGAAATTAGAAGAGTTTTGCCATGCAAAAGTAAAAATCTAATCATCTTGTAAAGCAAAAATCTAAATTTTAAATCATGTTTAGGATATGTATTTTATTTATTTGGATCATATTTTATTTTGCACAAAATGAAAAATTTTTTTGTCCAAAAATATTGTAAATCTTTTTAAAAAATTTAAAATGCAAAATTTAAAAATATAAAAATTACAAACCACTATGCTTAGAAATTTTAATTTATAATAAAAACAGAATGCGTTCTTATATAGTGCCTCGCAAACTCATATTCCCAAAATACCTTTTTTTATCGTTCTTTGATAAATTACTTATGTAAATAAAAAAAAATTTAAACAGAAAGAGGTGAGAATTTTCCACTGCAAGTCATTTTGCATTTAAATCGATAACTAAAAACGGACCCCCAAATCATATAATGTATTATACTACTGTACCAAAGAAAATAATTAAAGACAAATTAGGGGCCTCACAATAGGGCACAATATGATTCCATTGAAAAAGCGTGAGAAAGTACTTAAAGCTCGTTATAAGTCGGACACCCAGATATGGAGTGGCCGTTAAGGCTAAGTGATAAGAAGCAAGAAATTGCTAAGTCTCAAGGATCCGGCATTTGAAACCCGGTCATGGCAAATGCTTAAGAATTATATTTAAAAAAAATAAATGTTATTTTTTTTAAAAAATTTATTTTATAATAGTGTAAGGTTAAGAAATTTTTCTTTCACTTAAGTTTTTTTTTCTTTTTTTTCGAAGTGCGAATAATAACGGTAAAATGGAGAAATTGTTGCTCAGATACAGTACATATAAATTGCCCCATATTTCTCCTTAAGTTAAACTAAAATTTTCATACTCGACCAGATATTATGTTATTATATTATGTAGATTATGTTATAATACACTACCGAACCAAAGGAAATAATTATAGACAAATTTGGGAGCCCACCAGTGACCGATCAAAATAAATTCAGCCCCAAGTCCCACCAAATTTTCCGGGTCCCTAACAAAATATTTTGAAATTAAATTTCTGAAGAGTAGTTCTAACAATAAAAAAAATCTATCGAACTGCATGATTCAAGAGAAACATTTTAAGAAATTTTGAAAGCAGACAATTGGAGATTATTTTTCTGAGAAAAGTTCATGCATATATATTGAAGCGAAATATAAAACAACAAAACAATGTTGTATCGAAATAAAAATAGTTTAGTGATCACAAACAATTTAAATCAGTGATTTTTGCTAAAAGTCACTGATTAGTAGAATAATTTTTTATTATAAGCTTAAATTATTTTTTTATTTAGTACTTAAACCAACACAAAGCTAGCCGACTTTTCATTAGATTTAACGATAAGTTCAGCATGGATGCTAAGATATTAAGGTTATTAATTACAGTTTTTATTAAAAACTACACACAAAAATATCCAAAACACCCAAAATCATAGCTACTCACAGAAAATTAAAAACACATTTAAATAATACTTTATCTAAATATAACACTTTCTAAAAATTAAAACTCATATTCAGTGCATTCACTTAAACTGTTAAAGTAAAAATTGAAACAATTCAAATTCAGCTGCACATTCGAATTTGATTAGTGCAATGTTTACACGAATCTGGTTTATCACAATATAAGGAAAATTTGAAATAAAAAAATGCATTTGGGAAAAACTGTTCTTTTCAGTATTTGAAAAAAATTGTAATATTGTTCACATTTTATTGATTTTTGAGACCCCCCTCAGATAGTGTGGACCCTAGGCCCGTGCCTATTGGGCCTAGGCGATAATCAGGTCCTGGGGCCCACTGTGTGGCACACTTTGCTTTTATAGAAAAAGAGCGAACATTTCTTAAAGCTTTTTATAAGACTGACAGCCAGGTGTGGTGTGAGCGTTAGAGCTAAGTGCAAGTATGGTTATGATGGAAAATGCAATTTTATACAAATATTTTTTTAATTAAAGAACTTTTAAGTTCATAATCTCTGCAAAACAAAGATATCTTGTGCAGTCCTACTACAGCTAGTCACTGATATAAATATTTTTACAGTATAAACACTGATATAAATATTTTTAAGTTATATGATATTGAAAATCATATTGTGGGTATTCATTTATTATTCACAGATATACACATGCATAACTGTATATATTATGCACATGCTTCAAACTATTACGATTTTTAAAATCAAGTAAAATCAAATCTGACCTAATAATAATTTATTAACTATTAAATAATTATAATTTCCTGAAATATTCTTCGATTTTTATTTTGAGAAAAAAATTAGCATGGGTGACAGCTATGTTATGTACAAATCTTGCAACAAAGCAAATAGACAAATTTATCAACAGTTTTTTTTTTTAATTTAAAAGTTTTTAAAGCCCTTAACAGTTTTGTTAACTAATTGCTTAAGATTTTAACCTTTAATTTTTCAATTTGAATATTATTGTAAATATATGTTTTTTTTTTTTTTAAATATTTTATCAATGTTTCTTACTAGTCAACTATATTCTATCCTTGGTTTCATTTTAAGATAGTAATAATTATGTGTTCTTTGTATGAGAATTGTTGCTTACATATTTAGAGTTAATTTGTTATAATTAAAAGTTTATTTAAAAGATATAGATAGAAATATGAATTAAAAATAAATATTAATTTTGTCTTACACTATTAACTATCAATGCTAAGAAAAGGGAGGATGTTGTCAACGGATTCCAGATATCTGGCTCAAAGTCAGGCCAGATATCCAATACTCGGTAGCCGGCCAGCTGTCAACGGATTCTAGATATCCGGTTCAAAGTCAGGCGAGATATCCAGTAATTGGTAGCCGGCCAGTTTAAGATCAGTTGCATCCTTATTGTTATGATATTTTAAAATTACCTAGATAATTAAAGGTTCTTTTTCAAATTGTTATTTTACTTCGTAAATCAAAATGAAGTATAAAGTATTAGAGAGTAAAACTATCTTAAGTAAAAACTTAAGATTAAAAAGATCGTTAAACCAAGTGAATTGAGGCTTTTAACACTTATACGCAAATTATTTTTTAATTTATCTTGTTGTTTCAGGCGAGATAAAAGTATGTTAATGAAAAACTTATTTAAAACAGATGATATCAACATTGTACATATCATATGCCTAAGAAATAATTATACTTTACTAAGAAATAACTATAAGAAATAATTGTAATAATTTTCTAAGAAATAATTATATATAGTTTGCAAAACTAAGGCAAACAACGTTAAGGAGCAGAAAAATATAAAATACAGACAGCTGTTTCGGATGCTCAAAGGGCAGAAAGAGCAACATCTTTCTGTTGCACTGATGAAGGTTGCCCTTTGAGCATCCGAAACAGCTGTCTGTATTTTATATTTTTGTGTTCTTTAACGTTGTTTGCCTCAGTTTTGTATTTTAGCACAAAGGTCGACCACTTATGTATTTATATATAGTTTGGTCAAATAAAAAGTATTTTTTTCTCTCCATTTATAGAATTGTTTTCCATTTGAAAGGATTAAAGCAAATGTTTCAGTTGATCCATAATAAAAATTTTTTTTCAAAAATCAATGAAATGTTTTATTTTTGTCCATCGAACACATTTTTTCAATATTGCTAATATTTATTGAAAATAGTTAATGTGTAATATATTTCACAGCAATTTTATTTGTTTATTTATTTATTTTACTTATTTTTGAACTAGAGAGAAACTGTTTTTTTACTACTGTTAAGCTTCTAATTTCCTAAATTAATAATTAATTATTCTTCCTGAAACAATTTT